GGATTATGGTAAGGATCGTAAGATGAACTCAGATAGCGGACACTTTTTGAAAGTGACGGAACAAAGCTCTATCAACAACAATAAGATGGGAAAATAACAACTTTTTAAAACTTCATTTTCTTGCGGTGTCATGAAAACAAATTGGGAGTGTGCCATAGACTTACCTTCACGTGGTGTACCCTGGGCAACGTATACTCATACGGCAGTTGACTACTGACTTCAAACTACCATCGCCCCACTGTATGTCATATTCGACTACTTCACAGCACTCACCTCACCGTTTTCTACCTTCGTTTCTGTCTCTTTTACATCTTTGAAACACTCTTCTGTTCCCCCCCCCTCTCGAATTTTTTTTCACTTTGATGTTACTTCCTCCCCGTGAAACCAGAAGTCAAATAAAGGGCTAACGATAACGGTCAAAACGCCTGCCATTTGATATAAATAAATGAAAATAAATTTCAAGTTATCAAGTACCAGTGGAAAGTGAGAAGTTATGGTTAATGTAAATCAAACCACACGCCTTTGGGGCAAAACAGCCAAAGAATTCCACTTCTGTCTCGAAAGGTGTAAAGGTCGACTCCAAGAGAATTTTGAGAAAAGACTGCAAATTTTCCCAAAAATTAAAGCAAATCGTTCATGCACTATTAACTCGCTCAATATTCTACAGATCCAAGGAGCAACACAGGCTCCAGCTATTCGATTCCCCAGTGTTTCAAGCCTTAGGAAGAAACAGTGGTTGGAAAGTCATACGTTCGCATTTCACCTTCAACGCTGACAGTGAGTTCAATGAAAGCCTCTTCATGTTGTCATGAAAAAGTAATAGCACTTGTTCTTCCTAGTCGGCAAAAATCTGAGGTCCTAAGACTGCATCTAATTAAGCTTACTCCAGCAAATAGGCATATTATTCATTAGCCATAGTTGGTTTAGAAACAAGTTAATTCGTCTTTATGCTCGTCTATTCCCCTAGATGCAGAAAAGAACGTTGCACCCCAACACTCTTCCCCTTTACATTAGCTTGAGGATTGAATTTAGTGGCAGTAATACTTGTAGAGGCACTACTTAAATTCAACACTGAAAAGAAAAAGTCCACTTATGCAAATAACAGAATATTTAGAAACTGCGTTTGGGGTGGCTTTTGTGTTCGCGACAGAACCAATCGGAAATAAGCCAACACAAGTGAGAGGAGTGTTGGGAGAACGCTTATTGCCGCGCCTAATGTGCCACCAAGTAGGCCAGTTAAATATGCGAGGGAACACAAGAATGCCCATGTAGCCGGAAGCCAGATTGGGGGGAAGACAAAACAGTTAAATACCAACAGAATCTAATAAAAGCATTTCTTATAGAAAAACAATATGAGGAAAGAATACAATGTCTTCACAGAAAGAGGCCGATTATATAACCTATCCAAACCAAATTAATATGCCACATTTAAAGAAAGAACATTGGAACCAACATATCAAGGTATGCATGATTCAAAGTGGATGCAATTGAGGCGAGATAACATTACAACAACGGAATTGAATCAGCCCAATAACAAGCACTGAACATCTTGAGCATGAGATCGGAGTCAATTCCAGAAATTTGAACTAAGGGTGATGATCAAATGAACTATCGATTATGAAAATTTGAAAGATCCAATGCCCACATAGTTCAAATCTCTTTTTCCTTATGGACCCCTTCTCCCAATCCACGCCTTATTGCACATATTTCCTGCTCATCTTATTTGGATGCTTTTCAAGATTAAAACCTGTAATAAGTATTCTTTGCCGACGTTTTTTTTAAAACAATGACTTACATTAACATTGTGATCATGGGCTAGCCACTTCCCCGTAGGTCTAAATGTGGTCACCATATGTTTACTTTTACAACTAGGTTCCCTTAATTGGCCTAATTTGATTTCGCTCCGCTTGGAGTCCCAAACCTATAAAGGAAAGCAGAGGAATAACATCTGAGAGCTGCCCTGTTGATAAACCCAAATTGGGGAAGACCTTTAATTAGCAAGACCCAGCATGTGCACACCGGACCTGTGATATCTGGCCCAAAAAAAGCCTGTTCCATTGGTGATTTGACTTCTGTATTGATAAGGCCTAATTAAAAACAAATTTATATAAAAATTTCAACTCACCGATTCGGAAGCGTGACTGCAACATGGACAGCGGGATTTTGAAGGGACTAAAAGTAAAAACAGTGAAAAATATTAATAAGAAAACATCAAGGACCATTCTCGTCAGGAAGCCAGAAGGGAGATTTGTGATGCACTCGATGCACCCGTAAGCTCACATCTCATGCAATAAACAATCGATTTTCGGACTCCTCGCTCAGACTTCATTACGAAAGACCACCAATGAGGGATAAATATCTCGTATGCTCAATAAAGACAAGTTCATTTATCTTAAAATGGTGATCCCCTGTCTGAACGACAAATCTTCTTTCTTCCCCTTCCTAGAGTCTGAGTAGTTGCATTCCTAGAACGTGGAC